ACTCAGGTCAACCTGGGCGTGACGCTCAGCCCAGCCTCTTCCTCGCGGGTTTGTAGGCACGTTCCCGAACGTCTGTGACCCCCGGGTTTCCCGTCTACAGAGATGGAGCCGATACTATTGGGTTGTCGGAAAAGTCATGACGTAGTTTTTCTGTTTTTCATTGCCATAGGGTTGTTGCAAGGAATGAGAGAATACAGCGAGAAAAGTCAGATCACGTGACACCTTTAAAAAGGTCCCTGACCCGTCTGTGATCAACACTCTGGGGTAGGTGTCAGAACTGACACGGTGACATGTGGCTCACCTAGGGCTCGGCTTCCTTCCTGAGCCTGTTTCTCCCTCTTCCTCCATCTCTCACAGCCCAGAAATGGAGCCCGTATCCCGCCTGGGGCGGGCCCAGACCAGGCCGAGGCAGCTCCGGATCCCGTCGCTGGCTGGACGGGCGGGCGTGCACCCCACTGCTCCCGCAGGCTGGCCTCAGCGCCAGGGGTAGAGGGTGGGAGAGTGCCCACCTTGGGGTTCGGTTCAGGATGCATGCTTCAGCCTAGCCTGACCAGGAATACAAGCGGAAATTCTATTTTCATTTCCACCTGCATCTGTTCTTTTTATTTGGTTTGGAACCAGGAAGTGATGTGGGGTGTGATCCATTGCTAACTTCCAACCTCCACAGAAGGAAAGCATACAGTTCATCTGATATTTTAACTCTCCAGCCAAAAAAAACAAAACAAAAATAACCCCCTCCTCGCAAAACGTCAGTTAACTGGTTATTCCAGCCGCCCTAGCGCTCACTTCGTTTTCTGGTAGTGCTAATTATGACTCCTTGAACCTCCCTCCATCCCCACAGCACGGACCTTCCATGAACAGGTCTCCGTGTGACAGCTCTTCAGATACTTCTTCCGTCTCAGAACTCTTTGTCCTGTAAAAATTGCTCCTACCCCTTCAGCTCTTGCCCACTGGACCAGGTTTTTTGTTTGTTGGTTTCCTCTGGCCCCTCCAGCTTGCTCTTAAAGGGTGTGATGCCCTCGGCGTCGCTGGGCTGGTGCTCTGGGCAGCCCTGGCTGGGAAACGTGCCCTGAGCATCCCTATCCCTTTCCTTCATCCTGTGACTCTCAGAGGAGAAGACACAAAATGGTCCACAAGCTCAGGCGCTGGCATCTGTGTGCAGCTTATCATGTTCTGCAAGCACTGTAAAGTGACCTGACTTGGCCCCACACGGAGCATATGGTCGGCAGGAGTATTACTATGTCCGAGAATGGTAACACAGCCAGGCTTGCCTCCCTCGCTAGTCCCCAAGACGCCCTTTGGAAATCTCACATATGCTATGTTTTTAAAGTTAAGTCAGAAATAAAAGACTTTTCATGTGGCATTGCTCAACTGTAAAAATTTGGCAAGTATTTTTAAACAACATCAATAGCTACAACAACACAGCAAGGACCAAATCAAATGACGCTACGGCCTCCTGGCCGCCAGTGTGCGACCTGTGTGCCGAGGCCACTGACATTCTCTCCCTCCTTTTGGCAGGTCAGGTGTTGGTTAAGGACCAGTGACATGCCCAGAGCTTGGGGAGATGCTGGGAGAAGAGAGGCGAGCCACGGACACACGTTTCTTCCCCTCCCGGATCTTGCAACACTCAAACGAAGCTAAGAAGCTTTGACATCAGTTTCTGGGGTGCTGTGAAGTGTCCTCTCCATCTCTCTGTCCTCATTTGGGTAAGGAGTTAGGGTTCTGCCATGGAAGTCGCCTTGTCCCCATGTAAACCATTGTTCCCCCACCATCAGCTTCCTGCACACTCTGCTTTCCCTCAACCTGGCTTCCTTTCACTCTTGCCCTTCAGCCGTAGCTGGGCGAGCCTGTGGTACCCTCCACTGTTAGAGCACGGAGAGGGCTGGAGACTGAGGGCGGCCCTCACAGCTGCCCTTTGTAGACTCTCTGAAAGTGACAGGCAAAGATGCCCACTGGCACAGCCTAAGATCCCAAAGGAAAAGGACTTAGTTCTATCAGAGTCCAGCTATCATATCTTAGGGAAATTGTGATTGGCCCATTTGAGTCACATGCCATCCCTGAACGCATCACAATGGCCAAGGGATGGAGTTCTGTGATTGGCTGGCTTGGGTCATGTGCCCACCTCAACCAGGACATTGTGACACAAAGAGGTTCCCCAGAGGAATAGCAAGGTCTGGTACCAGCCAGAGAGGGGAATGGCTGCTGCGTAGGCGCAACCAGCCAGTGTGGTGGTTACTTGCTGACATTCACGCTTTTCCCCACACCTTCACTGGACAGAAGACAAATCAAAATAGGAGACTCAGCCAATCTGAGTCTCTCCTCAGTCATTTGATGCCTCTGACCCCTAGGCTGGTATTAGCCAGGCACGGAGGTCCTTGAAGAGTCACAGAGGCTGGGCTCGAAGCGCAGGGAGCTTTGGGGGCTGTGCAGGCTCCTCGCTCTCTCACCCCAACTCACCCACTCCATGGCCTCCCTCCTGGCCAGCGGTCTGGAGTGCTTGGCCATGGAAACCTCTGTGCGTGGGTGGTAGAAGATGGGAGTGATGCCTCCGGCGCTCTGGGAGCCCAGGAAAAGATTCCAGACTTCAGCAGTGTCGGGGGAAGAATGCTGCAGAGAACGTGTTACCCCCAGAATCATCTACACTCCAGCGGCCCCCCCGAGACGCTGACAGGCTGATGGGTGGCAGTGCCTGCCGGGCGTGCGGCCGCGTTTGCTTTGCCAGGAGCTCTGCTCATTAGCTCCGGCTGCCTCCCTGCCCTCGCCACGCCTCGGGCACAGTGCATCTCATGTGAGGTGGCCCACTTGAGCCCTGCACACTGGTGGCACCTCCCTAGGGCAGATTCCCGACTGCTGCCAACACAGCAGAGGGCGCACGACCCACCTCCATCCGCCGTCAGCCTCCATCTGCCAAGGCCATGGCACAGGACCCCTGTCTAGAGCATTTTCTACAGAAGTCACTTCCCTTCCCTTCCCCGGGGAGCTCGGTCACAGTTAGGAGGACACGAAGGCTCCTGACATCACAGTCCTGCCCTGTGGGGCTTTGAGCATCGAGGGCTCCTGAGGGTCTGCCAGACACTGAAACTCGTGGTGGCTTCTGCTGGAATCCCAAGAAATAACCAAACTGGTTATTTGCTCCAAGAGCAGAGACTGAGGTTGGGCTGTCTAGACGCAGTCCTGAGGTTGCGTGTGTAGCCAGAGCCCAGACCATCGGCGCAGGTGGGCTGGTGAAGGCTGGTGTTCACCTTGTGAAAATGGAGTCCAAACTGGCTCATCGAATGCTTCACTTTCCCGCCCCAAGACTGTTACAGGAATCTGTAGATGGGCTTTGGGCAAATGCCAGGGGCCATCTGGACCCCCCCCCCTTACTTCTCTGGCTTCATCTCCAACCATTCCGCCCTCCCTTGCTGCACTCCAGCCTCTCTGGCTCTTCCGCAGTTGAACACGCTAGGCACATTCCTACCTCAGGGCCTTTGCACTTGCTGCTCTCCTTGGGTGGAAAGCTCTGCCACCAAATCTCCCCGCCTCCCTCCCCTTCTTCAAGTCTGTATTCAAACGCACCTTCTCAGGCAAGACATCACTGGCCATCCTGTTTAAAACTGCAACACTCCTGAACCCTGCATGTTTTATTTCTTATCTCTGTATCGCTTATCACCTTCTAATATACTCTATAATAGACTTATTCCTGTTGTATGGCTCATGTTATGCCCCTGCTTAATATCTGTCAGTAGTTCCCCACGGCTTATGGGTCGCCCACAGGGTGGGGTGATTTGGGGGTTTCTTAGGCTCAGCATTAATTAACACTGAGTCGCAGACAAAAAAGGTTAACTCCTTTTCAGTCTCTCCTGCTCAGCCCCTCAGGTCTGATTCATGTGACAAGCCCACCTCTTTTCTGAGTTCTTTCCTACCTCCCCCTCCAACCTCTCGTGGCCACCTCACCCGCCCAACTCTGGCCTCAGGTGTAGGGCGTTAGGGCTTCGGAGTCAGACAGACAGACTAGGGCACGGTCGTCCTTCCCCCCACCCACCCCTGTGGCTGCTGTCACGATGGCCCCCGAGGGCATGTTTCTGCAGCCTCAGCCTCCGATGCCCTTTCCTGCTCGTGGCATCGACCCTCACACTCCAGCTGCAGGGGAGTCCTGTCCACTGCATCAGCCCCGCCCTGGGGGACACAGACGGCAGTGCGGCCCACACGCTTCCCCACAGGGTTTCTGGAAGATCAGGCAGGTCCCAGGTTGTCCGCATACTGGCAACCCTGGTGATTGTCTTCAGAGGACCTTGGGGACTCAGAACACTAGTCCCCTTTGGCGCCAGTGGCCTAGGGACACAGGACCCCGAGAGCTGAGGAGACGCCGATCTGTCGCTGGCCCCGTTTCCCAGCAGGTACAGCAGGTCCCAGGACTTGTCCTGACAGTGACAGGTTCCAGCCCCAGCAGCTGCCTCCGTCAGCTCGGCAGCGATGTTCAGTGAATAATGCCTTTTCCCAGACAGCATATGGCCTTGGCACCGGCTGGCATTCAAGAGGCGCAGACTCACAGCCATTCTGGCCAAGCCAGGCCACGCCGGAAGCTGGGCTGGGGGACGCTGCGAACAGGCTACGGAAGAGCAGAGTACGGGCCCCACTGGGAGGCTGGTTGGCGCGCCCGCCAAGAAACCAATTCCTGGCCAGTCCGAGAGCTCAGAGGTGGGACGTGGGGGATGGACACGCACCTTCTGCATTTGCCACTCAATACAAGGCGAGGGAAGTGTTCCAGCTTTGCCGTGTGGTCATGGCATGGTGGGGTGGATATTTGCCAAAATGGCCACAGTGACTCTCCTTCCTATGAACCCCCTTTGGTAGACCCTCCCACAATGACTCCAAACTTGGTCACATGACTTGCTTTGGCCAATAGGACAGTAGCTAATGTGACACATGCAGCCACATGTAAAGCTCTCATGCATCCAGGCTTGGCCTCTTGCTGCTCCTGGAACCCCATGGCCACCACGGAGCACAGCCAGGCTAACCTGCTGGGCGGTGGGAGACCCTGTGAGGATGGGGTCCCCATCATCTCAGGCATCCTGGACCAAGCCGCCAGACACCAGCCAGCTCCGGTCGACCCACTGGTTGTCCACAGATGCACGAGAGTCCAGCCAAGTTTCGGGGAGCCAGGCCCAGGCCAGAAGAACAGCCCGGGTGAGCTCAGGCCCGACTGCCAACCTGCAGGGAACCTGAGTTTAATAAATGCTGCTGTTTTAAGCCACAAAGTTTTGGAGTGGTTGGTTACACGACGAAAGCACATTGAAACACATGGATTTTATGTCGTCAGAGACCAGAGTAGACATGGCTTAACCTAGCTAGACTAACATATCCATCCAGAACATCCCAGAATGGTCATTTACAAAATGAAAGGCCAAATGGAGTGGTTATGTGCTCACAAGTACCTGTCCCAGGAACAAAAGCCACCTCGCAGCCCTCTCCGCTCTAGGCTGTCACCCTAAAGTTTCGGTCAGTATAAGAAGCAGCCAAGGGGAACCGGTCCGAGGAAGTCGCCATGAACGTGAGCTGAGATTCAATGGGCATTTGAATGTCTGCCCTGTGCCAGGCTTTGAACTTGGTGTTTTCAATGTTGGGTTTCAGTTGTGTCCACTGCCCTCAGTAGGCACCTATGTGGTGGACTCTGCACCGCTGGACCTGTGTCAGGGCAAGCACCTGTCGAGCACGAGGAGGTGGCAGGTGACTGAACACTGTAACCCTCCACTCTAGCCCACTGTCACCATCACTTTACAGGCGAGGAAACCGAGGCACAGAGAGGTTAAGAGACGCGTGCGCGCTCACACGTCTGGAGCGGGCGAGCCACCCCTCCGCGAGAGCCCACATCAGCCAGACTGCCCAGCGGGAGTGGCTGAAAGTCTGGAAATCACCATAGAAAAAGCTCCTTCTTGTTTTGTCTCTTATCAACCTACACTAGGGCTATAGGCACGGGTAGATTTTGGATTCTTGGGGATGAATTTTGGGAGACTCTTCCATTCTGGGTCAAGCTGTCCCCTCCTCCTCAACAGAGCAGCCCCACCCAGTGATGGATGCGAGCCCCACGCTGCGGACACTCACACGGGCCAGGCCGCTGAGAGCATGGAATGGGCTGGGTGGATCGGCGGGAGCCTGGGCCGCACGCCTCCTCTGAAATCACTTCTTTCCACCTGACTATTGGCAAACAGGAATATGGGGGTCCACTGTTGCCCAATTTTTTAAGACAAGCCAAACATTTAATTTTTGCGTGTGTTTTTAAGTTGGCACCCAATTAAAAAAAATGTTTTTCCCCTCAAAATACCACATGAGCCAACTCAAACTTCTCTGGGCCAAATATTACCCAGGAGCAGCTTTTGCTGTCTTTGGTGCAGGAGCTAAAACTCAGGGCAAATGACATTAAAAACCGGGATGAGTTTATGGGGGAACTTATCTCCTGGAAAGGAGGCCTGCAATAATCCTCTTTAAGGTCGATGTGAGAAGTGACGGGTGGATTATTAAAGTTTTTCACTTGGGTTTATCTCCAGGGCCGCCACTTGACATCCTAATGCGTGGCTGACACATCACAAGATGGTCCCACATCTGTGGAGAGAGCAGGTTTACAAGCCAGGTCCTGCAAGTTTCATCGGAGTGTCTGCCGTGTTGACGGCTCTTTGGGTGTCTACCGTACACAGTCCCCATTTCCGTCAACGGTACACAGGCCGAGCAGCGCAGGGGCCACCTGTAATCGCTCACTGGTGCCCCACGGAACATCTGTATGCCTGGCCAGCTCCCCATGGGGCTATTCCAGGCCTGCCAGCACCTCCCAGGTGAGCCACCCTGACCCCAGAAATGAGCCCTCATCCCTGCCGACAACTGAGCCTGAGCCACACGGGTTTCCACGTGACAGCCTTGCGGGCTCCCCCGGGAGTCTGCTTCCAAATCTCGGGGCCCTGCGGGTGGAAGGATATTGGTCCAGGTCCATTCATTCATCAAATATTTATGGAGCATCTACTATGAGCCAGGTACTGCCCAGGGGAAGGCTGATCAAAAGAGAGAAAAATCCCTGCCTTCATGAGACTGTGTTGTTGGAGCCGGCAGAGTGGCTCAGTTGGTGAGAGCACATGCTCCTAACAACAAGGTTGCCGGTTGCGCTCCCGCATGGGAGGGTGGGCTGTGCCCACCCCTGAAACTAAGATTGAAGGACAACAAGTTGGCTGTTCCCCTCCCCCAATTTCCCAATAAAATCTTAAAAAAAAAAAAGATTGTGTTGTTGTGGGGACATGGGTGGTGATATCCAGCGTGTTACATGATGACACGTGTAAGGCAGGCTCGGGTGGGGGTCACCATTTACAAAGGTTCCCAGGAAAGGAAGGCTGCACCCAGAGCAGGTGACTGAGCAGAGACAAAGGAAGTGACAGCAGGCACGGCTCTCAGAGGACCAGGTGGAACAAACACAGGTGTGCCATCCCCGAGGTGCGATGGTGCCTGGGGGGACGCTAGGCCAGCATTGCTGGGACAGAACAGGCAAGGGGGACAAGCGGGCTTTCAGAGAGACAGATGGAAGAGGCAGCGGTGCCAGACCTGAGCAGTTGGGGAGGACTTCAGTGTCGCCTCCGAATGAGACGAGAGGCACTGGAGTGACCCAATGTGACTTCATTTCAGATCTCAGGGGCTGGGGACAGACGCACGGCAGACGCAAGAATCCGTCAGGAGGCTGGGGAGTCATCCACGAAAGGGATGATGGCAGCGTGGCCGAGACAGGTGACAAGGGCTCAGGCTGTGGACGCGTCCATGTCCCCCAGTCCTCAGTGTTACTGTCACCACAGCTTCCTGGCCATTCCAGGCGAGGGTCAGCATAGGGCAGTACCTCCCGGGGGCTGGAAGCTGTACCCCAAGTCAGATCCCACACGAGCCACCTCCTGTCTCTAGAACCCCCTGGGCAGGTTTCCCACCTCTGTCTAGGCCTCGGCGTCCTCCCCTATAAACTCAGGGGATCGGTAACTGTACTGAACTTATGCAGTGAAGGGGAGAATTTAAGACTGTGTTTGTAAAACACTTCACAGTAAGTGTTCAATAAACGTTATCCCATTTTTCTCCATTTTTCTCAAGGCATCAGTGACCCAAATAGGGGTGAGGCGCTAAGGCTTTGCCTTCAACCTATGCTGGACCACAGGTGATATAAAGGGGCTCCTTTTGCTCCCCATGCCTACATGAAAAGGAAGTTGGAGATTTGGGGGTTTAGCTCAGACCCACCCTATAATCGCGAACCTGGAGACCGAGTCTTCAGTGGGCTAAGGAATTTGTAATCACTTTCCCAAGGTTACAGAGCTACAAAGTGGCAGAGCTGGGCGTGAACCCACAGCTGTCGGATGCTAAAGCCGCCTCGTCCCAACACCATGCTGCCTCCCCAAAGGGATGGAAGGCCTCTTGCTCACAGACGGGTCCAGGGGGCTGAGGATGGAGGCCGGCAGCAGAAGCCAAAGCTAGGGTCAGCCCTGCCTTCTCGGAGGGCTAGTTTCACAGAACCCCCCACTCCGGCCTCCCCGGGCTTCTTTCTGCTCCTCCGACAACGTAAGTTCCAGCTGCAGGTCTCGCTGTTTATACCTGCCAGGAAAATGCTAATTCCATTGTCGGTCCCACGGCTATTCAGATGATCGTAAACAGGTCCGTCAGAATTCTCCAGAGACAGCATTTGTAAGTAGTGAGGGGGGGACGGGCCCTGAGGACTCTGCCCGCCGAGCCTCCTAAAACTGCCGGTTCATGAATGGGCCAACTTCATACTTGCTAATGTCTAGTTACTGACACTAATGGGCCCATGTATTTTAAAAATGAAATCACGAGTTTTATTCAATTAGGAAAAGCACTCGATAAACTGCTGAATAAAACTGGCAAGGGACACAGAGGACGGGTCATTAGACAGACATCCCCCGCTCGGGGGATCTCAGGACTCCGCGCCAGCAGAACTCACCCCCCAAAGAAACCAATCACTGCCTGAGTTATAGGAGGGAGCCCAGTGGTGGGTGAACTCATCTTTAGTTTAACAGCAGCCCCGGGCAGGGCGTAGGCTCAGAAATGGATCTGAAACATAACTGGTGCTGACTGGGAGGTCCTTCCTGATGTTTGCATTGTCTGCCTGATTTACATGGAAATAACCCACCAGGTAAGGAAACTGGAAAAAGCCACGATTGTGCGGAATCCCACCACGCAGAGATAAACACGATCGACAGTGGGGTGCATGGTCTCCCAGGCTTTTTCTGTTGCTATTTGTATGATTTTGTGCGCGCACAGTATTTTCAAAACGCAAACAGAACCCCACACAAAGAACGGGGCGCTCTGTAACTTTTTGAAATGTGTTAATGAACAATCGTCCATCTAACAGTTTACGCCCATGAACTTCATCTCTTTAAGCAGCTGTATACTATTCCACAGCAATCTCCTACCTTGGATATTTGTTTGCATTTTAAAATATTCAAACAAAACTTATTAAACACCCTCGAGGTGAAAAATGCATCTACTCTTTGTTTCCTTGAAATTGGTTTTCTAAAAGCAGAATTTCTGGGTGTGACCAAGTCCACAAACAGCCAAATTTCCTTCTTAGAAGAGTTATACCAACTGACATTCACAATAGCACTACAAGGGGATATTTTCCGCATTTCCCCGCCTCATCAGTGAAAAAATGCTACGTTATTTTACTTTCTTTTTTTCAGGACTATTGAGTTAAACATTGTCTTTCATTTGTAGCTTGTGCTTTTGAATTTCCACGTTGGTTATTCATGCTCATTGCCCAATTAGCTGTTAGAAAGTCTGTCTCTTTTTTATTTATATGCTGTAAATCCGTGGAAAGGATCCCCCGTGGATAAGGGGGGATTACTGTATTTTTAACATTTAAATCTGTAACCATGTTGAGACATTTTGATAGATGAGGGAAGCATTACTTTCCACATGGCTAGCCAGTCGTCCCAACACCATTTGTTAAATAAAGTCTTTCCGACTGATTCAGATGCCACCTCATCATAGATTCAAATTTCTTTTTAAAGATTTGATTTGAGAATTGGGGAAGGGGAACAGTCAAGTTGTTGTCCTTCAGTCTTAGTTGTGGAGGGCACAGCTAGCTCAGCTCCAAATCCAGTTGCAGGGCCGGCTGAGTGGCTCAGTTGGTTAAGAGCTCACTCTAAGAGTTTGAGCTCTGAGCAACAGTGGTTCGAGTCCAGCCCGAGCCGAGCAGCCGCTGAGCTGCCAACAGGTAGCAGGATGGCTCAGCTAAAAACAAACAAACAAACAAAAAAAAAACAAAAAAAAAACCAAACAAACAAAAAAACCCACAAATCCAGTTGCCATCTGGCCCCCGTTGGCGCTCGCGGCTGCTCAGCTCAAGGTGCTGTGTTCAATCTTAGTTGCGGGTGGGGTAGCCCACCATCCCATGTAGGAGTCTAACCGTCAACCTTGTTGTTAGAAGCACGTGCTCTCACCAGCTGAGCCATCCTGCCACCTGTTGGCAGCTCAGCGGCAGCTCAGCTCGGGCGCAGCTCACTGGCCCATGTGGGAATCGAACCGGCGACCCTGTTGCTCAGAGCTCACTCTCTTAACCAACTGAGTCACTCAGCCGGCCCTAAATTCAATTTTCATGGGGCTTTTATATCCTGTTCCACTGATCTTTCTTATAGTAGTACTACACTTTTAATTATTATACACTTACATTATGTATTAATAAAACACTCTTATTCTCCATGTTCAGAATTCTGCCCAGTGTTCTCACTGATCTCCAGGTGAAAAGCCAAGGCTTTTCTTTTCACTGGAGTTTCCATTTAACTGAATGAAAGGAATAGAGACTGTGAGAAGAATGGACGTCCAGAGACGTACCGTGTTCTCCTCTTATTCAGGGCTTTTGTCTACATTATTGAGTGAAATTTTCTAGTTTTCTTCATATAGATTTTTCTTGCTCCTTTAAGTATTTAACATTTTTGTTCCCATTGCAAACAAGCCTGCTCCCCCAACACATACAACACTGTTGAACACAATGTGTGTGTGTGTGTGTATTTTCCCCTTTTGCAAGCTCTCTTATTAGTTCTAATAGACTGTTAGTTTGTTCTCTTTGGTTTTGTGGGCCAATGACACCATCATCTGCTAATCATGAAAAAAAGGTGAATTCTTTTCAGGATTTGTGTCTATTTTCTCTTTTTTCTTGTCTTATTGCACTGGCTATACCTTTTACAGTCATTATACTGTTTTTCTGGGCTTTAAATGCTGTGTAAACATAATGTAGGGCGCTAGTCAGATATATAAAAAAGACAAGCACACTATCCTCTCGTCCTAATTTAGCTTGGTTTTCAGAAATGGCCATGGATGTCTACCAGTGCCTAATTAAAAAGCCATCCAGTTGACTGTGTATTTTTCTTTCGTTTGAGCCACTCTGCAGCACGTTAAGTGCATCATTAGGTATCCTAGTAACAAGCCATTCACAGCTTTCTTGGAAGAAACTCTCGTTGGCTATAATACACCCCCCCCCCGAAATTCTCTAGATAC